ATTATTTTTTATTGCACATTTATCACATAAAAAAGGTGTTACGATAGTTATTTTCATAATTTTATTCCAAAAATGATCGTGCATGAAATAAAAAAAATATTTTTTTGATAATAAAAAATAATTAAAAATGATTTATAATTAGAGAAAAACAATTCAGATACTACTAATAACTAAGGCACTATACGCCCATTATTAAAATTGGATTAATTTTTAATTTTGTCAGAAATTCTTTTGGCAAAATTGCATTCTAGCATTTCTTTTCTTTATCATTTTCTCTCTGCATTGACTGCAATAATTTTCACTTTACTTTTAATGGTTGGCCTTTCAAAATTGGTAGAAAGAGAGTTTATTAGCATTCAAATAACTGTTCTATGTTGCATCTTTTTAAGATGCTAAAGAAGGCATGAAACTTCTTGAAGGATGGTATCCTACTTTTTAGAGTTTGAATCACAATATTACCTTCATTTTTTTTTATTTTTGTATTTTTGCATCCACTGGATTAGAAAAAACGCGTCATTCTAAGTTTGGATAATGTTCAGTAGTGATGCCAAAGACCTAACAATATCTATATGAAAAAAAAATCCAAGGGACATAATTATATATCATACCAGATATCAGGAAACTAACTGCATAAAAGAAATAATCCTGACTCATATTTCGGCGCTCTACCTGACTCAAGACAGTGATTTTAAAAAAAAATCTGGTTTCTCTTGGTATTTGAAAAATTCTGAATTCAAACTGAACTTAAACCAAAAGAATAAATTAAAAATTATAGAGGCTGCCAAATTAAAAGACAATATTGAATTGGATATTAAAAGATGGTTTAAACATAGTAGGGACTACGAACCAAAATCTTTGAAAAACAATTCTGTATCAAAAAAAAAAAATCTACAAGAACAAATTCATTTTCCAAAAAAAAATAAAAAATAAGCCTATAAGAACATACGCTCTTTTCCAAATTTAATAATTTATCCACATTATGAACATATTATAAACTAATACATTCATTTTTATTTAATATTAAAAATTGATTTTAAATATACAAGTGATAGCAGAGGGAATGAAGCAGTTAGCGACATGTGAAAAAATCGAAAAGGACAAAAGCAATTAGAGGGATAATTTCGCATAAAATTCATGGGTTAAAGTGCAATTTGAGGTATAGATGGGAGGCATTTTAGTGCATTTATTGGTTTATTTTCAATAAGTGGTGATTGGTTTTGCGGGATTTGGGGGGTCTACATATACCAAAATATATTTATAAAGGGATTACTTCATTAACTATGAGTGCTAATAACAATTCTATTGGTGCGTAATTTTCACTTGATTACAACACAATTGTATTAAATTCTATTGATGCTACTTCTATATTAACTATTATATTTTTTTGTTAACAATTCTCATACAATGTATCACTTACTACACATAAAATAAATACAAAAACTATTTATTTTTGATTTAATATATATATTTTTTCTAGATCAAAGAAATGAAAATATTGTCTCTCTTCAAGTTCGACAGCCATCCGCATCACCAATACTTTTGTGTGATCATGGTAAATATACAGTTTTTTTATATCGTCAAAGATCGTGCATTTTCATTTGTAGTACACACTCCACAAAATTCAAAATAGTTAATTAAATTATCAATTTTGGCTTTCGTACTAAAAGTGGATTGGTGTGAAGAGTGTTCGCACCTTCAAGAAAGATTATCAAATCGAATGCTTAGTATTTGTAAGTATTTCATTTTAATAACATTCAATTGCATTCATTTGTAGAAATATATCATTCACTTTTTTAATATAAATTTTAATTTTTTTTTCAGGATCCATCTTTCGAAAAAAGACAGTTCTTGAATGATATACACATTCTATTATATTTCAAACTATTGTTAAACAGATATTACATTTAAATTTTGTTGGTTCAATTTTTCACCTTTAGTTGTTCACCATTTTATTTTTTTCAATAATATCAGCACCGTGCGTAGCACGGGTATTCACACTAGTTAATTATTATTGCTCGAGGAAGACCGTCTCTTCAAAAAACCATTTTGAGCTTTGATGCCAACCGCTGTTGGCGCGGCACAAAAGGTTAAAGAACGCCATTACAACGCTTTCTTCTTGCTTCTTGTTGTGTTACGAAGTGCACCAAAATTTTCAGCAACTAATGAATTTAACAGACAAGACATGATGGATTCCAACTTTGTTTAGGAAATTGCACGCGATCATGCGAAACCAAATCCTCTAGTAAGACAATTTGCTCGAGATTTGTGAAAGAAAATCGGGAAAACAAGTTAGAGGAGGTGGAAAACAGTTGCACAACTCATCATGAACCACATAGGTAAGCAAAAAAGCAGGGCTAAATGATGGTTCCCAGCTATTATTGATTCATTCATAGGAGTAGTTTACAATAATATATTGAGAATGAACGAAAGAGTTCACAGAGCTGGAATACTAACTGTTTCTGCTATGGATTTTCCTCACCTAACTTTTTTTGTAAGCACTCTCAGCACCGACAACAGGTAAAACTTTCATATGTTTGGAAATTTTGCTAAAGCAGCCAAAGAAAATTGTTGTGTCCTTTCACGATTAACATGGTAAGTAACATGCAGCCAAACAAACAGCTTAACATAAGCTGTCCGCGTAGGATATGCGTTTTCTTTCGTGGGACCTTTTCTTTTAACTTCGGTCGGGTGATGTGAACAGTTAACTCATGTGTAATGGACTTTGATGAGCTCGATCAACACGTATGCAGTTAGTTTCTCTCCATTGAGTTTCTCTCGATTGCTTCGAAGTTTATTGGTCTAGAAGCCGAATTGTCTCCTTCAATTTCAGAAACAGCCCAGAATGTTCGTGACGCTCTCCAAATGAGAAAAAGGAAAAAAGAAAAAACAGCAGCAACAGCAAGAACAGCAACAGAAGTTTCGAGTATGGTGCAACCCTGTAAGGTGGCCTTTTCTTTCTAGGTGTGGTTAGGGGTGCGTTCGAGTCCAGTCGAACTCGAGTAGTGCATTATTTGATCTCGACTCGAGGTAAAATAACTAAGTTTGAAATCGAGTTCAAGTTTGTCGAGTTTTTAAAATTTTAAGTTTAAACTCGACATCAATTTACGTTACTCGAGTTCGAGTTTAATTAAATCTAATCAATTTAAATTAAATTCAATTGAGCCTATTCGAGCTCACGTAATAAAAATTAATATTTTACATATAATTTTAAATAAATAATATTATTGACATTTCACAATAATAAATATAAAAAAATTAAAATATATTATAAAAATTTGATTAGACTCGTCGAGTCTTCGAGTGCAAAATATTGAACCTCGAACTCGACTTGCTGCTTCTATTAAGCAGCTCGAACTCGGTCAAAACAAACTCGAGCCGAGCTACTAACTGAATAGCTTGCGAGCTCAAGTCAAACTACTCATTCCAGCATCAGCCCTAGAGCCCCCGTACGAACTGGTTATCAACTTCTTGCTCTAGGCATGGTCAAATATTTGGGAAAGAAGAATAATCATTAGGGTTAGCTGATATTTGATGATGCTATTGGTAGCCAGCCAGTGATAAAACCAAAAAAAAAAAAAAAAAACTTAGGTAGCTGGTAAAATTAATTTAATTATGGCACACTCGATCTTCTTCATCTAAAATATCTGCTGTGCAAACCAATGACGAAAGCAATAGTCATTTGTTCTTCAATCTTTTTTCTGGTAATGATAATATCAAACGTCATACTTCACTTAATAATAAAGAATACCCTGTTAAAGTCCCACAACCACAAGCCCGTAACCATAGATACATGCACACACACACACACACGTATTGTCCTAAAACACCCTAATTATTTAATCATTGCGGCTTCTAAATGAGTAGAAAATTTTGCAAGCTCTCATAATTTAAGTCTCAATACTCTTATAGTCGCTGCCCCTCCACATATTAAATATCATGCATGCTTCATATATTTATTCCCAGCACACTTATTAGTACAAATCCTACAAAATCGTATGGAGGATGGGGACGTGCACGTTGAATTAATTGATATGGAGATATCATCTGCCGACCAAACTATGCGCAGTACATTCAGCTGATGGGTCCAATTTTTCCTTTGTAATACTAAATTGTTTTGGGAATGAGACTTCAGTAATTTACCAGTTTTGGCTTGGCCCCAGTTTATTTTCCCCTCTTTTTTTCTTCCCCTGCTATTCCTAGAAGCGATCGTGATAATTTCGACGTGCGGTGCTTCTTAATTTTGCTTGTTACCGAAAAGAGAAATAGCTGCTTTTGCATGCAGCTTGCAAATCATCAATGATCTCATCTTCTCCAGTTTTACGTTTGTTACTAGTTGCTTGGTGGTTTGAAATGCTCGACTTAGTAGTTTATAGTAATTGATGGTTCCAATGATCAAAGATTAATTTTGTACGTAGCATGATGATGCCGAGACAAATCTATCCATCCTACTTAAACAGCCGATCGAGCAGAAAACAATTTCTGATATGAAATTGAAAAGTAAGGACTAAACCGACCAATTATTAATTGCAGCATTTACTAGAATATATATTGTTGGCTGCTCGTCGGTACTCCATTCTTCGTTGGATGGAACGAAGAGCTAGAGCAGTGATATGGCAAGAGATGGTTATCGTCTTTCCGCGAAATGTGGAGGATGATTATGCGATTGTGACACACTGGGGGAAGACATTATTTATGGGTAGGCAGTTGCTGCAGGCGCCAAAAGGACAGCTAGGCCCCGGCCTTGGCAGAGCTTTTCCACTGCCAACCTCAACAATTTCAACGGATAGCTGGGGAAGAAAAGAAGACCAAATATCCCATAACCAAAACAACAATAATAATTAAATCTAGTAATAGTCCTACTATTTTTACCAACTTAAAAAGCTACTACCTACCGAGGTTTATTCTTTGTAAATGTGTTGTTAAGTACTACTATTTTACATTATTGCATCGTTGTTTACTTGTCAATTGTTCAAAGGTCCATGGCCAGTTCACATCACAGCACTGATTAGTGATTAGTTAACCCGTGAGGAAACAGAACATGCCAATTGTGTTCCTTCCTAGACCTATAAAATCGGAAGCAAACTATCCTAAACTGGAGCTTGGGATTTGGAAAAGACACTCCGCTGTCTGTTCTATTCAAGGGTATGAAAGAACTCCCCTCCGATCCCTCTTACCATACCTCTCAATAAATCATCTTTCATTGGTTAGTTGGATGATTTGTTAATCTTTGACTATTCTTTGATATCTTTCAGGGAATCTCCAGCTAGGTTATGGAAATCTATAACTTCAGAAGTTTAGCAGAATTGGTAAGACAATTTTGCATAATGATCAATAGGATTAATTATCTTTTCTGTATCCTATTAATTTCAGGAGGATTTCAAGATTTTGATGTTGTTTTGTTTTATAGGGAATGGACCATGGTTTTAGCAATCACTGGTCCATGAGTTCTCTGGACGAGCTTAGCACAATATCGTCCATGGCTGCCCCATACCATGATAATCTACACATGCATTCTTCTCAACCCATCTTCAGCCAGAAACACTCCATGGAAATGTCTCCAAATGATGCTAATAGGCCGATGAAGCAGCAAAAGACTAGCAGCTGGAGCTCCTCCAACAGTGATCATTTATCAAATGCCAACTTTCATGTGGTCAATTCTTCAATTTACAGTGATCAAGTTGCCACGGTGAAACCTAAGGAGGAAACCATGTCTTCTGTTACTATGAGCTTTTCCCCTGACATGATAGTTTCCCATGGTTCATACGATCAAAACCAAAATTACGTGTTCAAGGCTTCTCAAGGAGCTAAAAGGGTTAGCACAAATGCTAGGCTAACTCAAGCTCAAGATCACATCATGGCTGAGAGGAAGCGCCGTGAAAAGCTCAGCCAAAGATTCATAGCTTTATCTGCTCTAGTGCCTGGACTTAAAAAGGTACTATTATTTGGTTTCATATATCATTCATGCCAACAACCCTTCCTTAACTAAGATTGTGAACTTTATCATGTACCTGATTTTCTTGACTGCATTACCTAGTGATACAATTGTTTTATGCGTATGCTATCATCAGATGGACAAGGCTTCTGTTCTGGGAGATGCTATAAAGTACTTGAAACAGCTCCAAGAGAAAGTAAAAACCCTTGAGGAGGAAGCAAGAGAGAATTCAATGGAAAGAGTGGTGTATGTTAGTAAGTACACACTTTGTGATGATGGTCATGAGGATTCTTCCTCAGATGAAAACTTTTGTGATGAGCCCCTACCGGAAGTAGAAGCAAAATTTTGCAACAAAGAAGTCCTAATTAGGGTTCACTGTGAGAAAAGAAAAGGAATTCAGGAGAAAACCATAGCTGAAATTGAGAAACTGCCTCTATCGGTCATCAACAACAGTGCCATGACATTTGGAGGCTCAACTCTTGACATTACCGTTACAGCTAAGGTACGCCATTGCTATGTCACCGACTCGTAAATATGCGCATGAGTTAGAAGCATACAGGAATTCTTTTGCGCGATGATTGGAAGATTGGTCAGTTCAATTAGTCAAATCCATTGAATAGATATCTTCATTTGTTGCAGATGGAGGAAGAATTCGCCATGCCAATTAAGGATCTCGTGAAACATTTACGCTCAGCCCTCAAAAAGTTCATGTGAAAGACGGGGTCCTGTTGGACACAAGTACCAATATAACTTGGAATTAATAATCTGCTTAGTTACGAAGTCTAGTTTTACGTCTTTGTTTTTGCAGAAGCCTGGAAGTTCTTCACCCTTTCAAATTTGACCATATATCAACCTGGAAGCTAGCTTGTTTGCTGTGAGGTTCATTTTTGAAGGAGGGTTTTTTCCACGTACCATATTTTTTCATGGCTCACTTGTGTGGACCATGCTACTCATCCTCCTGTTGTAAAGATGACCACATGGCTCAATTTGGCCTTTCCTTTTTTTTTTTTTTCAACTTGGGGTGGTTTGAAAATTCAACCAAACCGAGTGCTTGTAAGGGGTAAAGGGTTTTAGTACTTTTTTGGGGTGGATGGATAGTCAGGCTTCCGTATCAATTTAAGGTATTTGGTCAAGTGTTTTAGAGGCCTCCATTGGAAATGGTTCTTGAGGTCTCTTTCCCATCTATTCTCGTTTGGACTTGTATGTATGCATCCACTCTAATTATGCACTACAATAAATGATCAAAGTTTTTACTTTCGAGTTTTCCCTCATTGAGCCGTTAGCTGAAATATTTGACCTTTGTTTTCCATGACATTGGGAATGAGACAAAATTGACAGGTTTTCAACTTTTGCAAATTTTCTGATCTTCTTTTTGAAATATCCATCATATAGAAAGGGTGATAAATTAATTAGGGTTGCAACAAGTCAGCCACAGATTGCCATTGAATGTTTAAAGTAACCAGTTTAGCTCAGCTGCCTGGAAATTGGGCAACAAGATCCAGATAAAAGAGGACATCTGGCGAGCAAGACTTAAAAAAGTTGTCATCTTTAGCTTTCAAAGATGGAGAAGAGACGGCCGCAAGAGTGCGGTCCCTCTGAATTTTGCCCCAATGGAAATTAAAACGAGTCCATAAACGTGGGCGACTTTTGACTACTTCCTGTTGCCGCCAGGCATAACACGTGATTAAGCCTGGTTCTGTGCTAACTTTCATCTTAAGAAAAACAAATATGATCACGTGGTCTTTTACTTGAGATTAATTAACTCAAAGTAACTAATTAATCGAGGTTTAAGCAAAGCAAACCCTGTCCCACCAAAGATTGCGGATCTTCCTTTCAATTTAAAAATTCCACCCCATTTCCCTGTAAGAAATGACAAAAATGATCGTGAGAGTTCGTGAGATTCCTTCCCCTTTCTTGCTTGCTCAAATCATTTTGGTACTGAGAAAGATAAGATGTGCAAATCAATGGAGGCCATCAAGTAAGTCGAACAAGGCGTCATTATCATCTTCTTCTTCTCTGCAATCGCATTCAGTTTAGTTGGAATAAAGAATTTCACGACCTAAAGTCCATCCTCATAAAATAAAAGATCTTCTACGATTTGATTCAATATAAATTTGTATAAGAAATTAAAGTTTATTCCTTTTTTCCAGTGTCACATTAAACAATTTGCAAGGAACGTACGGCGCAATGCTTAAACAAAATGAGTGATGGTTCGAAGAAGAAATGAAACAGACAAAAGTCATATATATTGCGCCGGCACCTGTTATTAGACTTCGACAGCTCCAATTTGTCACGAAGGATTGTTGTCTGAGTATGTTGATTACTAGCTCAGACGGCTCTATCTCATGATACCATCTACTTATTATACTGCCTCTGATTTGTTTTTACTTATCCCCGGGGATGCAATGGAACTGCGGAAGAACCTTTCACTTAACCACGTCTCAAAGATATCTTAGGGAATTTTGAATGAAATTTACTCTCGTTTTTTCGGAAGAGCAAAAGAGAAGTAACTCCGCATGCTATTACATATGTCATACAAAACAAACATACCTAAAAATATTGACTTGCGTTTGGTTTTGTGGAAAATTCCGCGATTGAGATTCTTTCTTCCGTATTGAAATTGTCTGAATTAACCTTCTGATAGTGTTTACGCTTTCGCTATTGGATGGATGAATGATACACAATGCAAAATTTGAATTGTAGATTCAAATTTAGATTAATTATGATACATCTAATAGTGATAGTGTTTACACTTTCTAATCCTTATTAAAGTATAGATGAAAGTTAAAGGGCTTGACAACTAGATGAGACTATAATTGAGCATGATCAGTGCCTCGCTGGATTTAAACAAAAAGGCTTGAAAAAAATTAAATGAGAATAGAATTTGGAATGTTTAAATGCCTAATCTTGAAGGGGTAGAATAAAATAAGGGTTGAAGCGTAATCAAGGTACAATGAAAGATAAAAAGCAACGGCAGTGGTAAATGCAAGAGCACCTTCGTATTTCATAGGTCCATTTCTTCAGTCCTTGGTATTTTAGCAAAAGCTGTGTCAAAATTCCTTAATCTCTCGCAGCTTTTTTAGCAGCAGCAGTATTAATTGGAGTAGGAGGTTGGGGCATCCAAATAATAAGAGGGGATCATTCAAGCAGCAAAAAAACAAAAAGATGATTTCATTTATGATCACGTTTTCGAGTTTCTGCTGGAAGTAAATCAAGACCGGATATTCCCTGTGCCGTAGGAGGAGGGCTGATCAGATCATTTGGAATATGAAAGATCGGTTGATCTTTTGGTAACAAAAAACTGGTTCTGGTTTCGTAACACTAGGGAAGGAGTGTGCGAGTGTTTGGTGCTTGTGATTAAAAAAGATTTTAAGGTACTTGTGATTAAAAAAGATTTTAAGGTAGTTGTTTGTTGATGGTTGTGTTGTTATTTTGTGGAATTTTGAAAGTATTTAAGTTGGTAGGAGAGTAAGTAAATGAAAATAATAGTGTGACATAATACTAAACGATACTATTTCATAGCATATGTTTCAATAATAGATTGTCTGTAATGGCTTCTTAAGTCTCCCTTTATTTACATTATTATTCAATTTGCATGTCACATACTATAGGTAATTTCATTAGCTATATGTCTGTTCTTGGGGTTAAAATGTTAATCTGTTGATCAATAAGGATTATAGCATTTATGAAAAAATCATTTAAGTTTCCTTTTCTTCATATTATTATTCATTTATATTTCATGGATTACAAGTAATTTCATTAGTTATATGTTTGCTCTTGAGATTAAAATTCAAAGCCACATTCATTCTTGTATAGTCTGAGGTTTTGTTTCGCATTTTTTTGGTTCATCTTTTTAGTTTTTGTAGCAATTTTAGTTTTGTTTATTTGTATAAGAAAGCACTCATTGAAGTTGTTTGTTCGAAGGAATTTCTACAAATTCATCACTGCTTAAGGATATCGAACTATTTCTATTACCTTTGCTTAATTAGAAGGTATATGTAAAACCCTGCCAATATAAATGTTTTAGAAGATGTTTATTCTATTAGTTCATCAGTGGCTAAATAATTCAAACTCAAATTAGTAGTATACCATGTAACCTACCAATTCACAATAATTCACTATCAAATTACTATCAAAATGAATTCCATATATGAATCATTTACTACATGCAGCAAAAAACATATCATAATTGAACCAATAAGATGCTTTTTTGGCTTATCTTATTCTAGATACCCCTCTGAAAAACTTTTTCTTGCGGTTGCTTCAAATTTATTACATCATTACCACACCATTCAAATTATATAGACCAACCAAATTTGTGAAAAATTCATAATATTTCAATTAAATTACGCAACCAAAATTTCAAATTTTGCGATAGAAGCAATCATCTGACGCTACACACTACCAAAACCACCTACATAAATAATAAAATTAAGGAATAAAAGTCACCTCAAGCTAAACCACAAAGAATAATTTTGTTTGAAAACCATTTTGAAATGCAGAGTATAAAGGTAGCAAAAATAGCTCAATCTCGGAAGTCGAAATGACAAAAAAATTGAAGAATGTGGAAGAGAAGACATTCGAACAACCATAACTGATATTGAGGCATTAATTCATTAATATACCCACGTTTTCTTCAATTTAATTGAGATGTAAATGGCAAAGACAATTGAATATGTTTTAGGCAATTGAATATCCTCAAGCAGTAAGATTACGTTAACTGTGTCTGTAAAACTATTTAAGTAATTACACCAATACATAAGCTTGTATGCCTTGTACCTGATGCAAAAATGATTATAAAATAATTTCACATTCCAAAACTACCCAAATGTCTTCATAAATAAATGTTTTAAATGTACAAATATGAGAAGATTTTCATAAACATACTAAAAAACATGCCACCATCACTGGTACCCAAAGTTAAAAATAAACTCCACATCATTCCATATTTCAAAAATGCCCCTATCCATACGATTGAAATTCAAATCTCCTTTTTTACCACAACTCATTCTTATATAGTATAAAAATACATATAATTAAACTAAGAAATTAGATGTTATTGTTTGGCAAATTTGCCAAATTCATCCCTCACATTTTTAGAAAAAAAAAACTTTTTAATCACTTACATTTAAAATCAACGACAATAGTCCCTCAAATATTAAAAAAAAAAAGTCCGTCCAATTGATCTCAAAACTCATTTTTGCTCACTTTTCTGCCAAAAAAAATGTGTGCCTCTCTTATATGCCCACAATTTCAAGAGCAAAAATAGAAACACAATTTGTTTCCCCTTTTTTTCTAAAAAAAAAAGAATAAAATGTAAACCACTAAACCCTTTCTTCCTCATACTCTCAGTTTTTTCAACTACCAAAACCCTAATTGTAAGCCACCAAACCCCAAACTAAAGAAGAAAATTTCAGTCACCTACAAGTAGTAGAAGAAAAGCAAGACAAGGCATTTAAAAAACTCACCCATTGAAAAATACAATGGAAGTAAACAATGATTGATGTCATTGTAGCAAAGAGTCAATGATTATGACTTCTTGGAAACCTGCAAATCTGAAAAGGAGATTCTATGGTTGCCCAAACTGTGGAGTAAGTTTGAGCATATTTCATTTTAGTTGCTTGGAAAAAATTGGTTGTTAATATGGAATGAAAATCAGTTCTTACTATGTAGTGTTCTTGCACTTTTAGTGAATCATGTTGGTTGCGATGTTAAGTGGTATGATCATCCAATATGTAGTAGATTAGTGTCAATAATATCTAACTTATTAAAAGCTATCAATTGATTAGAAGCTAAGCAAGAAAGAAGAGTTCGGAAAAAAATTTGCTTTGGGCTGCTTTGCTTGTTTTTTGGATGTCCATTTTGCTAACTGTGTTGAACAAGAGTTCAACTACAGCCTAAAGAGAAAATGAAACATATAAGATAAAAGCAATATAATTTTTGCACCTTTATCACCTGCATTATTGTCGACATAATATTGAAGAATAAAGAGGTTAAAATTTTCCTTGTTTAATCCGGTTTATATTTATGCATTTGAAGGTGGTTGTGTTTCTTAAGAGAAAACAAAGTGTGTTTTCATATTTACCCTTGAAATTATAGATATGTAAGAGAGGTGTGTGCTTTTTGGCTGGAAAAGTGAGCGAAAATGACTTTTGGGACCAATTGGGCAGACTTTTTTATATCTAAGGGACTATTGTGGTTAATTTTAAATGTTAGGGACTAAAAAATTTTTTTTGCAAATATGAGGGACCAA